TAGCCAACTCTCGACACCCTAATCAACAAATCACTCAACTCGGCTATTAACTTTCGCTCTCATGCTGCGAATAAGATCATGCATTAAAAACAGAATTCATCCACGCTCGCGATTCTCTATAGGGTAGCTTTCGTCTCCTATAACGACTTTGCTCAATCACTTCTAGGTCTGGTAAATTGATACAGCACTCTCGTGGCTCCAATAACTGAGATCAGTTTCTAAGTGGCTAGCAACAGAAACAGCATAGAGAACAAGAATGATCAAGGGAATCCTAGAAGATTAATAACCCTAAATCGAACAAAGCATATGATCAAGACATGAAATTCCCTTTGAAAATTCCCTTAAAAACCCAACTGTGAAATTACTCAGACATAGTTAAGTTCAACATCACTAAAGTATTTAGAATTGCAGAGAATTGAAATAGACAAAGGTTTAACGAAGAACATAATGAAGCAAGAGGGCCGATGGTGCCCCTCTCGGTGGCTCCTCTTCACAACGAGTCTCTCTCTCTAGGGTTCCTAGCAAAATGTGGCACACCCTTCTCAATGACTTAAAAGAGGTTTATATAGTGTCTTGAGACCTTGAAAACGCCTAGGGCTTGCAGGAAGATCGACGGGAATAGCTTGGGCTTAAAATGAGCTTCCGAGGCTCGGAAATGAGCTCCCCGCAGTCTAAATGCATTCCTTTTGTCAAAATATCCTGACAACTCTTTTGAGATTCTAAAACATGGAAATCACTTAAAAACCTTTAATACTGAGTGAAAAAACCTGCATAAGACATTGAAAGTGATCCATAAAAGTGGTCAAAACCAGGTGTTATCACATATATCACTATGTATTCTCTCTAGGAATATTGGAGATTAATTCCTGATTTTAGCTGGTGATGACAGAGTTATGAGTTTTCCTTGAGAACAAACAATACATAAAATTTTCCCGATTGAAAAATATTCTGGTTTTTTCATTAGAATTTTCTACAATTTTTTGCATCATGACTGAACCAGGGTGTCCGAATCGTTCATGCTAGATTTTGAATGTATTTGTAAACTTTGGGTTTACGGTAACATATGATTTAATCATATTTATCCTCGTGGAATATATTCTTGAGGATAATGCTGGTAATACTTCTAATTCAAATTTTCACTCCGTAATAGCTGATGTAATACAAAGATATTCAATACCATTCTTATCCATAGTTTCTATGTGATATCCATTTCTGCGAATATCTCTAAAACTTAGCAAATTTTTGTAAGATTTGGGGGAATATAACACATCATTTACTTCAAATTTTGTTCATATTCGCATTGATAAACTCACTCTTCCAGAGCCCATAATAATTTTTTCATTACCAGATATTGTACTCACGTGTCCAACGGAATCTTTCAAGAGAGGAAAAATAATTTTTATCCTTTAGTATTGTGTGTGTTGTAGCCCTCTCTGTCGGAAATATATTTCCATCCTCGATCTTAACATTTGACATTTTCTGAATTCAAGATATTCATAAAAGATGAATTAATATAGCAAAACAAAAGAGTTTATATTACAATAAAACTTTTTTACACAAAAGATACATTTATAAACATTAGACTTTACATTTTTCACACTATATATCTATATATATATATATCATATTTTTTTCTTCGGGAAGATTTTACTTGTGTTTTCATTAATATCCTCGGAATCAACCATGAAATCAAAAATATTGACATTTGTATCATTGTTTATACTATATAAAAAAGCCCGGATTAGCCATGGATGAATTTGTTTTCAACTTCTTTTCCTTTCACCTTTTGTGATTCTTGGTACAGATGGACTAAATGTTTTGGCGTACGACTGGTACGAGACCAATGTTCTTTCATGCAACATCTGTAGCAAGCATTTCTTAAGTTGCTTCTTATTCACGTGACCAACATTATTACCTTTGAACTTTTTTAAGTTCTTCCGTCGTTGAAATCAGCAGGACGATTTTTTTCCTCGTCCAAGTCCTCGGCCATGTCCAAATCATAGTCCGTTTCTAGGATCATTTCCTCGACTGCGTCTATGTACATTTTTCCAGTTCTCATTGCTGGATGATGAAACATTGACTTATGGGAATGGAGCTGATCCAGTTGAACGAGCTTGATGGTTTAACATCACGAGTTCATTATTTTGTTCTGCCACCAAAAAAACTTGCATCAACTCTGAATACTTCTTGTATCCATTTTCCTGGTATTGTTGTTGTAGGACTATGTTTCCAGGATGGAATGTTTGGAGAGCTTTCTCAATCATATTAAAATCACTTGTCTTTTTTTCACATAACATTATACTGAATGTGATTCCGATCAGAGCGGAATTCTATTCACTAATGCTCTTATAATTCTGGAAGCAGAGGTTCAACCACTCATGCTTTGTTTTTTGGTAAGATCATGTATTTCTGATGATCAAACCTATATTGGAGTGATTGCCAAAGATCTGCGGGATCTTCTTTCATGATATATTTGTCTTTTAAACCATCGTGGATATGGTGAAATAAAAAAATCATGGTTTTCACTTTTTTCTCTCCAGGAGTTGTTTTAGTTTTATCGATGGTATCAAAAATTTGGTTTTCTTTTTTTATGCTTTTTACATCTACTGCCATCTCATATAATTACTTCCGGATATATCAAGGCACCAATCATGAGTTTTGCCAAATTTGACATGATAACTGTAATCAATATAATAACAACTTATAAATTTGGTTATAATCCACTTTTAAAATTCTGATTTTAATAAAAACAGATAAAATTTTAAATACATGAACACTGTAAAAACTAAATTTAAAAACTGAATTTAAAATAATAATAAACGAAATTAAAGAATAATATAATGAAATAATATATGAAACGAAATTAAATTCAGTTTGTATTAATATATGAAACGAAATAACTGTACTCATCTTCTGGACGAAATTAATTGTACGGTTCTTTTGGAACTCTTTTATATATCTCCTGGATATATTTTTTATTCATATAGCTCTTCTAGAACTTCTTTTCGTATATGTCTTCGTGATGTTTTCTCTTTCAAGTACGTCATCTGGACATAATATATTTTTCTTAGCTCTTCAGGAACTTTTTTAAAATGTCGTCGACATATTTATTATATGGAGGTAATGATAAGGGAAGACATCTACCACATGATCATAAACCAACCATATATATGAGGAGGCAGAGTCTGTCATATGATCTAAGGAGACATAATCTACCCTATGATCATGATCGTGAATGCATAACCTACCATAGCAATCAGTTTGGATGAAACATAAACGTAATCCAATTACACATAAAGTAAACTGATGGAGTAACCGATAGGGTTGCGGTTTGATTGTTTAGTGTAAGAGTACCTGAACGAATCACACGACTTGAGATCATTGTGTGAGCCAAAACTCGCACAACCAGAAATTTGTTTAAGGAAAACTAAGGGATCTGAAACTTCTAGGGTTATCACAAGAACAATAAGATCGAAAGAGGGTTTTTACTGCTGTGAAAGTGTTTAGCTCTTATTGCTTAGGGTTGCAAAAGTTACAGAATGAATTGTATACATCGTCTATTTATACTAATTCTCTGAACCGCCTAGCCGAGAATCTCGGGAGAGATTTTCGGAATATTTCCTTATCGCCTCGTGCGGCTCACCGCCTTTGTATTTCGCCTAGGATTTCTATGGGCTTCGTCTCTCAAGGCGTTGGTTCGGCCCATCTGAACTTCTCCCCGCCTTGACCCACTTGCCATTTGAGTCGAGACGTGATTTGGTCCACCTCACCGAGGCGTGGCTCGGCCCAAGCATGTTGAAGTGCGGCTTGGCCCATTTCCCATGATACGGCTCGGCCCTTCTATCTTTCTTCACGGCTCTCCCCATTGGTCTGTCTTCACGGCTCTCCCACTTGGTGACCATGGCTCTCCCACTTGTCTTGGTGACCACGGCTCTCCCACTTGTCCTGGTGAGCACGGCTCGGCCCCTGTTTGGTGGACGGCTCGGCTACTTTGTCTTTCTTCTATACTTAGTCATTTTGAGATGGTTTTATCTGCTTGGGGTGAAAACCGACCCCAACAGTTAGCCCCCCAGCTCGTCAGTTTTGGAGGCGAGAATGACGAGGTCCATTACTCCTGACTGTAGGATAAACCATCGAGTCAAGCTGTTGCGACTTAAGCCTAGGCGAGGTGTTTCGGGAGTATAGATGCCGAGGCGTTCCCAAAGGATGACGAGGATGCCAAGGCGTTTCAAGAGGGTGCTGAGGACGCCGAAGTGTTAAGGGCGAGGCGATTAGTATTGGCGAGCCGTGACGAGGCGATTTAAAAAGGTTATGGCGAGCCGAATAAATGGCGAGGCATTTCGAGAGAAAGTTGGTGCCGAGACGTTTCAATAACGACGAGGCGTTTCAAGAGAGAGTTGGTGCCGAGCCATTTCATTAACGACGAGGCGTTTCAAGAGAGAGTTAGTGCCGAGCTGTTTCGTTAACGACGAGGCGTTTCAAGAGAGAGTTAGTGCCGAGCCGTTTCGTTAACGACGAGGCGTTTCAAGAGAGAGTTGGTGCCGAGCCGTTTCATTAACGACGAGGCGTTTCAAGAGAGAGTCAACGCCGAGCAGTTTTGTTAACGACGAGGCGTTTACTTTGGTAAGATACCGGGTGAAAACTTGGGTATCCCAACTGTTGGTTTTCCGAGAGAAAATTCCTGATCTATTGGCGCGTGTGACCGACGCAGTTCGGTCTAGCCATTTCACCGCAGATCCCATGCGCTGTTTGGACGGTTTCCCGAGGTTTACACGGAATTCACGCGCTTCGGTTTTCCTATAAATGGGTGAGCTCCTTCATTCTTCCTCATTATCTTCAGACTCACTCGTTTTTACTAAAGGTAGCTCTCCCTTCTCTCTTCTTTCTCTCTCTAGTTTATTTATTTTCCGGCTAGGGTTTCCGAGGTCTCCGCCGTTCCAGATCTTTTTCCGGCGGAGGTTCACCGAGTCGTGCTGTGACTCTTGTATAAGTCGTAAATTATGTCGAGCCGCTCCGACGATTCGTTGGATTCACTTTTTCATTACGAGCCGAGCCGCGTAGATGCCAAGGCGAGAGGTACGACAGAATCCTCCGAGGCGTCTGTTTCACCGAGCCCTTCCAATCGTTAATCTGACGAGGCGTCAAATCATGCAAATCCGTCAGATGTCGGCTCTCCGGATGATGAGCCGTCGGTTTCGACGAGCCGTCCCCAGGATCCCGTTCCTGATGAAGACATTAATTGCGCCGCACTTAAAGCTGAGGAGGAGGCATTTCCCTTTGACCTTTTCGAGGCGAAGCTTGAATTGGAACCTCTCATTGCGTCCCAAGGCGCTTCCACATCTGGGCGAGGGCCACGAGTTAAGAGACTAAAACCTGACCCACCTGGCTCTACGCTTTGCTCCCTTGAGTCACTCGAGACGTTGAGGCATCGCTTCGGGATATCCGAGGCGGTGGAGTTCGTCGTTCCAGAGAAGAGCGACCGAGCCGACAAGCCTCCAGAGAATCACTTCACTCTGTACGAGGCGTTCTTCGAGCTTTACTTTCTCTGGTTCCCGATACCCAGAGTGATCCTTGAATATCCCTGGAAACATGGGATCTCGATTGGGCAAATCATGCCGAGGGGATTACGGCATATGATTGGCATCTTAGTTCGAAGCTTCGAATGCGGACTTGATATCGAGCTGAATCACCTGCTGAACTTGCTGGAAATCAGGAAAGCTCCGAAAGGAAATAGATTCTATATTTCCAACAAGGCGAAGCGACGGATCATAGGCGGTTTTCCCAGCAAGGATCAGTTTTGGACTGAACGCTTCTTCTACGTCTTGGTGAACGAGGCGTCGGTCGGCGAGGATTACGTTCAAAGAACCAAGACCGCTTGGGGACCACTTGGTAGCCGACCCGAAGCTTTGCCTCGGCTCGGAACTGTTTTTTGGTATCCTCTTCCCTTACTGAATTTTTTTTCTTTTTTGCTTTGTTTTGCAGTTCGGTGCTTTCTTCCCCCGATTCCCGACGACATCTTTGTTGTTCGAGACTCTCTTTCGGCTCGGAAGGTCAATTGGAGGAAGAATTTCACCCTCGAGAAAGTAGAGAAAGCCCGAGCTATCCTTTCCGGAGTCCCTGTCAGTTCTTCATCTTCCAGCTCCTCAAGAGATACACGAGAGAAAATGGTGATAATCGCTCTGAGAGATAGGAAGAGGCGTGAAGAAGAGGCGGCCGCGAGACGAGCTACCGAGGCGGCTCAAGCGAAGATCGAGGTGGTTCCAGCGCAAACCGAGGCCATCCCTCAACCCGAACCGCCGAGCCGGGAAGGAGACGAAATGGTCCGAGCCGCAGAAGGCAACACTGTCGAGGCGGTCGAGAGAGATGCAGCGCCCGAGGTGGAACCGGGCGAAATTATTCCCGAGGTGTCCGGGGATGATTCGGCGGTGCGGAGCAAAACTCCTTCGACTCCGCCATTTTAGCCCTCCCGAAGTCGACGAGGCCCCCGACTTCAGTTGTTCAGAAACATGACCCGAGCCGAAAACGTTCAGCTGCTGACAAAGGGAAGGGCGTTGCTGTTCGGTAAGAAGAGGTGGAAGCCGACGCCTGGAGACTCTGCTGCACGCAAGTTGGTCGTTGACGACCCCGACGCCTCTGCCGTTATGTTCTCGCGTGTCAATAACGCGAACACGCGTCTTCCTCCTCCGGAGAAGCTGAGGAGGCCGAGGTCGTACGGCGCGATGGCACAGCGCGGTACTAAGGTACATAGTATTTGCTTTCCTTTATTTTCGCGAATTTTACTAAGTGTTTAACGCGAGTTGGTTCTTTGCAGTTTGTAGCGGCCACCTGATGGCCGAGTACGAGACGGACCTGTCTAAGGTTGAACGCCGCTTGAACGCGAGTTGGTTCTTTGCAGTTTTCCGCGCCGACGTTGACAAAGTTTCCGCCTCGGTGATTCGCCTGGAGGAAGCAAGGAGAGCCAAAAGCGCCAAGGTGGCGTTGCTTAAATGGCGTATTGAGGCCAAGGATGCTCTGTTCGAAGCCAAGGTCAAACGTGCGAAGAAGGAGGCGAGGCGAGAGCTGACCGCTAAGTTTCAGGAGCGCCTCGCCAAAGTACTGATATATTCATAAATTGCATCATTTAATGTACATATTCTAGTCCAAATTATGTCTCATTTGCATAGGTCTTTAGTCATTGTTTTAGGACTTAGGAGATTCCATTAGGTCCAAGAGAGTTTTGCATGGTTTGGAGTGTTAAACAGGTGCTTTTGGAGCTTATTTGGAGTGGAGGATGTGATTCAGATGAAGAAATGGAGTTGAAATGATCAAAAATGGTGAAAAGGAGCAATTTTGGGTTTCTAGGCAAAATGATGTACTGATGGCCGAAGATTCTCGGCCAAAATCCTTCCCACGGGTAGCTTTCTCGGCCAAAAACACGTACCGCGGTCAAGTCTCTCGGCCAAAAATCCCGGGTGCAGATACATTTTGGAAATCGCGTCACCGGAAGCTCTTGCCGGCCGATTCAGGTTACAGGTTCTTCAGCACAGTTGGAGATAATTGAGTCAAGAACCCAGGACAGGTTGAATCAGGGCATTTGGAGCACCGAGCTGAAAGATATGGTCACCGGAAGACAGACCTCTCTCGCATCCATTCCGGAGCAATCCGATACTCCTGAATGGTCGCCTGTCCGGGGAACCTTCCGGTCTGATTCAGTTGTCGGGGGCTTCATCAAAGTTGGAGTAGATTAGATCACGGTTCCAGAACAAGTAGAATCATGGAATTCGGACGCGTGAGCAGAAAGTTAAGCTCGTCGGAAGAAACTCCTGTCTCGCTGCCGTTTTGGACCAAGCCGATGAGCTCCGAAGAATGCGAAGGCCGGTGCACTTCCAGACCGATTCGGTTTCCGGGGCCTTCCTGGTAATCAGAGATATTTAAGTCCTATTTCCAGAACGTCCAAGATCATTCAATTCGGATCTATTATCAGGAAGATACGGTCTCCGGAATAGACACATGTCTAGACGCCTCTCTCTGATCGTGTAAATGCACTTCGAAGATGAGCCCTCCAGGAAGTCTTCCACTTCCCAAGCACCGAAGCTTCCTTCACTACAGTTGTAGATATATGAGTCCTCTCGCCTCGGCAACCGGAATCACTCAATTCGGACAAGTATCATATGAGTTACACTCTCCGGAATGCGAAGTGGTCCAGACAGCCCTGAATGATGCGAGCTAAGTGAAACATGACACGGTTTTAATGCCACGGTCTAGGACTTGACCGTGGCAACTTTTGCACACCTTCTGCGAATGACACGATCTTCATGCCACGGTCTACACTTGACCGTGGCAAACAAACACTTGGCTGGGAAGAACTTTACAAGCATTCGGTACTTGACACGGTTTCAATGCCACGGTCTAGGACTTGACCGTGGCAACTTTTACACACCTTCGGCGTTTGACACGACCACTTGCCACGGGGCTTGACCAAGAGCTACTAGACCGTGGCAATCCAAGAAGTTCATCACCCAAACCCAGAAAAGAAGAGACACGGCCACTAGACATGGTGTAAATCAAGCCATGCCAACCTTGATCATGAAGAATCTGTCCAAGAACTTTGACACTATCAGTTTGCCACGGTCAGTTTGCCACGGTCTGTCCAAGCATCATCTGACCGTGGCAAACCACACCACTATCCATCAAAGCCGGGTCTGGACCCAATTTGTCCTGGGCTGACCCTGTCCGCAAGAGACACTATATATGCTTTTTAGGGTTTTTTCCAAGACTTAAGCTTTGTTTTTCTCTTGTTTCTCTTTCCTTTTTAGTGTAAAAACGAGTTTGATTAAGAGATATCTAAGGGATTTGATCATTCCAAAGCTGTTTCTTATCATCTCATCATCTCATTTCTGCTTCTAATCATGATTAACATCATCTCTTGCAAAAGATTAGATGTGTTCTTCATGATTAGTGAGTAGTCATCTTTTAAACTTCTAGGTGTGTAGATTAGGGTGCTTAGATGTTTGATTTGTGATGTTTAGGGTCTAGATTCTCATTTCATTTCCTTAGTTAGCTGCTCTTAATGCTAGATCTCTCATTATAAGCTTGATCTAGAACTTAGGCATTTCACCACCCACAAGGTGTTTGATGAAATGCCTGAATGAGCTAACTTAAGGGTTTATGCCTTTTTCATCATGGGAATGATTTGTTAAATGCATGAATGACATATTATAACTGTTTCTTAATGCTCATTGATTCATATTTCACAAATGATGATTTGGTTTGAAAGTGGATTAGTGTAGAGATTAATGCCTTCATGAGAGGATTAGTCTAGATTAGAGTTCTAAGTTGAAATGTTTGAGATCATGTGATTGCTTGTTATGTCTTTCTGTATAAGATTCAGTCTTCTTGGTTGAGAGATTGTTTGGTCACTTATTAGGCTTGATGCATTATGCTTGCTGATTGCTTGATTATATCTAATGGTTGTTAGACTTGATTAAGTGATTTGAAAAGGGATTATTGTCATGGGAATGAATTAATCTGATTAAGAAGCCTAGACTAAAGAGTAGCAAGTGTTGCATTATGTTCTTAGCATCATGATTCAATATCTAAAGCACCCTAATCAATGATCACATCTAGAGGTTTAGCTTTTATCATTTGTTTAATCACCATCATCTTGTTTTGTTTGCTTGCTTAGTTCATTAATCATAGCTTGTTTGTTTCTTGTTTTATGCTTTCTTGTTACTTTGTTCACACCAAAACTCATCTTTGATCACTTGAATTAAGAACTTATCACATAAACTAGTGCCTAACTACCACACATATGGATTGACACCCCTTATACTACTTTGACAAGGGGATTGATAACCCTTCTTAAGGCCTTAAAAACTTAAGTTATCAATTGGCGCCGTTGCCATATTGTGTGGGGATTGTTAGCATTAGTTTCTGATATAGTTTTTGAGATCAAGTTTATTTTGTTTTACTGATTACCTTTCAAGTTCTGTCTTTGTTCTCAGGTAGATGATCACAAAGAGAAATAGCTGTTCACTTGGAGAGGTTAGGAATGAATCAGCAAGTTGGGAATGAGCATCAGGCTCAAGAAGCTGATCAAGGTCAAAGAGCTGGTAATGGGATTGGAATTCAGGCTCACCAGGCTCAGGTCCATCAGAGACACGCTCAGGGTAACCAGAACCAAGACCGACCTCAGGTTAATCCACCACAGCCCCACCCAAACCCACCCATACGTCATCAGCCCCAACCAGTCTTTGTTGGTGAGAATGACCGAGCTTATGCACACCAGTATGGAGCAGGAATCAGGTCACCCCCTGTCCAAAACAACAACATTGAGGTGAAGGCCTCTTTGATCAATATGGTTCAGAATCAGAAGTTCCATGGCTTACCTATGGAGGATCCCTTGGAGCATCTGGATCAATTTGACAGAGTTTGTGATCTCACTAAGATCCATGGGGTATCTGAAGACAGTTTCAAACTGAGATTGTTCCCATACATCCTTGGAGATAAGGCACATCAGTGGGAAAAGAACCTCCCAAGAGGATCCATCCACACATGGGAGCAATGCAAGATTGCCTTTCTATCCAAGTTCTTCTCAAGCTCAAGGACTGCAAAGCTAAGGAACCAGATTTCCAGCTTCACTCAACATTCTAATGAGACCTTTGGAGAAGCTTTGGACAGGTTTAGAAGCTACACAAATAAGTGTCCACATCATGGCTTTTCAGAAGCCTCTCTCCTTAGCACTTTGTATAGAGGAGCTGTTCCTAAGATCAGGATTCAGTTGGACACAGCATCAAATGGAAATTTCTTGGCAAAAGAAATCAATGCAGCTATGGAACTTGTTGAGAACTTAGCCATGAGCCAAGACACTTATGGGGAAGATTATGATAGAAGCTATAGAGGAGAAGATTCTGGTAGACACCAAGAGCTGGAAGAGAAGATCAAAGTGCTGAAGAAAAAGCCCTAGCTGCCACTCAAAAGCCTATAAACTATGTGAGTGAGGAAAAGAGATGCTTCACAAATACAAACGAAGAGAGTCTCACTCAAGAGGAGTTGCACTTCATTGGGAATCAAAACAAGTTCAATGGTTACAACAACTTCAATAAACACCAGAACTTGTCCTATAGGAGCAACAATGTGGCCAACCCCCAAGACCAAATATACCCCCCTCAAAGCTTTGTTCAACAGAATCAGTACCAAGGTAACTCCCAAGGTCAACAGGGTTTTCAGCAACCAGCGGTTCAGAATCAAGGAAATAGCTTCAATAACCAACTCAGCTTCCAGAAACAAAGGCCACCACCTCCTGGTTTTGCCCCACCACCTGTTCAACAAAGTCCTGATTTCAATGTTGTTCTCCAACAGCTCTTACTAGGACAACAAAAGATGGTATCTGACCTGCAGACACTAGGAGCTGAAATATATTAAAAAGAAAAAGGGCATCTGCACTTCTGAACCACAAGTCTCTCTTCTTGGTAAAGATGTT